CGAACCTGCCACAGGTCTCTGCAAGAATCTGTACACACCTCCTCGCAGCCCAGCTTTAGAATCCTATACAGTCAGACATAAACTTCGTGTGGGAATTTAAAAATTCTTCATGTAAGGGTCCAACCAGCAGCTGCAGACACTGCTCCGGTTTGTACGGGAACAACCTCCCCGTGGTGGGCACCGCGAGTCCTCCTGGGGCTCGAGAGGCACAGAGACACCCTAAGGTTCAAAGCCAATCCCCTGATGAAAAAAGCATCAGTCTGGTGGAATTTGTTTTGCTTTGCACTTCCTTCAGTTTTACGTGCTCCTCCGAGTCCTCAGCTCCTCTTTTCCTCAAAACCCGTTCCGTTTTTTTTTGCGCCAGCCGTGGGGCTCACAGCTGCTCGGCTCCACCACATCCCATCCTCCCCACAGCCCGCTGCTCCGCTTGCTGTGCCTCACTCTGACAGCACTCTGCCGGACAGACAGATTTCCTGAAGGCCTCGCTACAGACCCTGTGATTCCGTATGCCAGTGGCTTCAGAGCTGGAATCTGTCGGCTGGGCTGCCCCTGCGCAGCAGCAGAGCCCAGTGTCTCACCTCCCGCACCAGAGGGAGGCCCACTTGGCATGTACGTGTGTGCTGGAAACTGCAGCACAGCCCCAACTGGCTGCCCCAACTTTTGGCTGCCCCAAAGATCTCCTGCACCCGCCGCTCACCCTGGCCAGCCTGCTTTGGTTTCTGACCTGCTCCTCCTGCAGCAGTTCTGCTCCTCCGGAGTCACAGAACACCTGCAGCTTCACCATCTCCCGGCATGGAGACACTGGCAGTCCCTGCCAAGCTAATGCTGTGCCAGAAGAACAGCATAGAGTCCTTCCTCTGGCAGAACGGAGAACCTCCTTCTCCTCTGTGCTACTCCTTCAATTCCCCCTGAATTCGTCCCTCCACAAACACATCCCCTAAGAAGCCCACCTGTATATGCAGGGAAGACCATCAGCTTCCCGCTTCCAGGAGGAGCAAGATGGTGGCCAGCTGTGTCCACCCGGGCTTGCCCGCCCAGCCGGGGCAGCCAGACCGCGGCCACCTTCACAGACCTGCTCTGCCCTGAGCTGTCCTGCAGCCTGCCCGGGGTCTGCCGCCACTGCCTGCAGAAGCACACCACAACCTGGGGAAGCCATGAGCAGAGCCAGTGGTTTAGGCTCGAAGCTTGACCTCAGGGCAAGCACCAAGCTCTTTTGGCTACGGACAGCAGCCCCAGGGTGACAGCCACTCTGCTCCTTCCAAAAGCCCTTGAGTACCAGGGCTGCAGTGCGAGCCCAAGGCCAGGATAAACCTGCTGTGTACTGAGTGAGCTGAGCGGGTGCGGAGAAGCATGGGGGGGGTCTCTGGCTTTCCCCGCTCCAGTTTCCCACCTGGTTGATGTGGACAGAAGGGATGGAGGCTGCAGAGACAGACGAATGGCTGGGTGAGTTGGGCAGGGACTTGCAGGGGCCGATGGAAAGCTGCTGTTTCTTCCGTAGAGCCACCACCTTCTGAGCCACTGGAAGAAGAGAGAAAGGAACAGGGTCAGAGTCCAGAAAGCAACTTTCTCCACCTGCCCTGGAGGGCTTCAGTGAGACCCAAACCCTTTGTCTGACTGACGCCAACATCTGGGGTTCAAGCTGTGCCACCCTGTAAACAGGGAGGATTTCTGCAGAACACCCAACCTCGCGGTCCCCATCGCCGGCCGCTGCCACGCAGCCCAGCTGCAAGGGACGGCGTTTGCCCACAGCTGCTCCAGCAGGCAGCAGGGCAGGCTTCCGCGCTGTCATGCCGAGTGCCCAAAGGCCACCTGCTCTCTTGGGTCTGACACAGAGCAGTGAGTCCATGCGATGCCAAGGACCCACCCAGAGCCCTGGGCTGCTGCGGAAGGATCCCTGGGCAGCCAGGGTCACTTCTCGGCCATCCCTGGGCAGCCAGGGTCACTTCTCAGCCATCCCTGGGCAGCCAGGGTGACTCCCCAGCCACCCCCTGGGCAG